CACACACACAAACAAACAAACAAACAAACGAACACACACACACACACACAAACACACCGACACACCGACACACCAACAGGCACACTTAGCGAATTATTTAAAGTAGGATAATCACAAAAAACGCGAATTTGCGTTTTTTTTCTCGTGATTTTTTTGAGCAAATGGGGTGGATATTGTACTCGCCTATGCTCAGTGTGCATGTGCACTATTACAAATCTCTCATTGTTGATGTGTAATAGTGCACATGCACTTGACCAGTCCTATAGAGGTCCTTTCTGTCAATGAAACAAACAAAAACGATGAGCAGATCCTTCCCAGAGATGCTTTCCTAAGCACTTTATTCCAATAATCGCACTGGCTTCAATGCTGAGAAGGCGTTCTCATGTTCACTAGACCTGTATCCGACGAAATGGAATGGTCACTTGCCTGGTGTATATGTCATTGGACCATACCGCTAAGTGATTAATAAGTGCTCTTCTACCTTCATTCTGCATCCGTTTCGCATTCCTAGAAAATTCTTAGACAACAACAACAGCTGTGTACCCATAAACTATCATGCTGCAACACGAAAACAGCAGTATTACTATATTTGAAGAAGATATACGTGAACAGCAAGGAATTTGCTATAGCAAATACCGTTTCTGGCGTTCTAGATAGCATATCTGCCTTCAGAGCCACAGCCTTTCTTACTAAGGGCTGAGAATTTTCTGAAAGGAGCTGAATAAAGGTACACTTTCTGTCTATTGAAGAGGGAATCAGGCATAGGTTTTCCATTCCATCTCAGACCACGATAGCAGCTTGAACTTAACTTACCCCGTGCTTATTATTCAACAAGCTACTTCTAACTTTTCTCGACGATGCCGTAGCCACAGTTTGTGACAATGACTTCGAGTGGATGGACCCCTTATAGAAATGAAATTTCTTTACAGTCTTAGGCGAAACATTCCAATTTGATAAATTATTTTATTTTGAAAGAAAATTCCTTCTCACCTGAATCAACATATCCATCTGATCATTACAATTAAGCTGCTTCCTTCAGAAAGCGAGTGAGTAAAGTATTGTCTAGATCTCTGTTTTACTGCCTCATAAGCTCACAGGTAATACCAATTTCTTAGGAAAAGTTCACCATGCTAGTGTTATAGTTTTCTGAAGATGCTTTTATATGTGCTTTCCAGAAAACCGAACTATAATGGCTCTCGCGTATTGGTCGAAGCAATCCTCAATCAAAGATCCGAGAAGGGCACAAAGCTTTGTTGTACGGGCATAAACTAGGGTTTCGAGAATAAATTTTTTGAAGCAATCATTTCATGTATTATCCAGACCAACTTCTGTTTGCCTTCGTTCGTAATCAAATCTTATGTCAAAAAATGTTGGCTTGAGAGGTCATGTACGAATACTTGCCCGCCTGTGGTGAACCTGATTGTGGAGGTGAAATGTCCATCGTGGTCGTAGTACTATTTGACAGTTTTGAAGCGGAGGCTTTTTGTAGATGTTTCCTCCTTTATCAATGGACCTTCTACTTACACTGTTAATGTTTACACTCTAAAGAAAAATTTTCCCGGAAATTACAACTCACAAATGGTAGACGTATGCCTAAAGTATGGTAAGGGACTCAAGCTGACAGAATTCTTAGTCTCAAAAAATTTAAGGAATTTATTCCGAGTGGAATCCCTACAAGTAAAGCACAGATAATCCTGATCCCCTTTTCCAGCAAAAAATTAACATCAATGTTAAAAACACTCGTGAAAATCATTTGCCCCTTTCGCCACAAATGAAATGCCGCGTTCCATTCTGTACCACTTTTTTCACAAGTTTGTCGTGGTGAATCTCGATTTGCTGTCATTCTCACAAGCACCCAAAGGATCATGTTTCCTTTTCCCTATCCATTCACCACCAATGTGTTCCAATGTTCAGTGCAGCGAAGAGAAAAATGAATACCGTTGAAGCCTTTATTTTCGAAGTTCTCTGATTAGTCTTCATCAGTCACAGCCCAGTACCCACACTCCATGTTTGTGCTCATGGCAGCGCAAATAATATGTGAAATGTCCATCGTGGTCGTAGTACTACTTGTCCGAATCAAGCTCAGTCGCTATGCTTATTGACGCTGTTTTGCAGCATTCTCAGCAGTGACTACATTCTTACCTTTCTCACCTACAATCTTCTTCGTACAGAATTAGACATCCTATAATCTGACATCCTATAATCTAACGAATGCAAGTCTCGAACTACACGTTTTCTCAATTAACGATGCAACCGATAAGCAAACTTTTTGAGAAAGGCTTGAACACATCATCAGACTATTTTTTGAACAACATCTGATCAGCAGTATAAATACCTATCGAGGCACTGGTGAGGATCATTCGTCTTGCTCTCATAATACCATGAGCGAAGGTCCGTTTATCAGGAGCGTATACTGTATGAATGTGGAAAAACTATGGACAAACAGTGCAGATAAAGCTAGCCCTGGAATCATTGAACCCGGTTCTCCTAACAAACAAGACCAGGTCAGTGTACTTTCGTAAATGTT